CTGCGGCGGTTCCGGCGGCCGGAGCCCGGTCGAGCTCATGGACGTTGTTGCTGGTCGGGAAGCAGGAAGCGGATCTCGGTGAGCTGCGAGCGCCTGCGGGACCTGCTGCCCCGGTTCGATGGCCGGCGGGAGGATATGGTCTCGGTCCTGGAGATGGCGGTGCAGTATCTCCGGCTCGCCCACGCCCTGGTGCCTGGCCGGGGGCGGCGCACTGTGAGTTGTCAGCCGATGGCCTGGTCAGCCCTCTGCAGGGGAGCCGCTCATGGGGATCTCGCCACCCTTGGAGGCAGCGCTGTCCCCTCCTAGCCCCGGCCACGCTGCCCTGCTGGCCTCCCTTGCTCTCCAAAGCCGGAGCTGGCTGCGTTTCNGGGGTGGGGCGCTGGGCGGGAGGCACGTGGTGGGGGGTGGGGTGCACGTGAGAGGGCAGGGCAGCCCGGTTGCAGGCGTGGTCGCAAAGGGGGTCCTGCCGCCTGGTCCTTTTTGCTGCGCCACCACTGGAGCTCATGGCGTCCCTGGGGCTGGAGATTGGGGTCGCACGTGCTCCGGCCTCCGGGGGAGGCTGGTGAGGACCTGGGGGGCGGCGAGGGTGCACCTGGCGTCCCGCGGGGCGCCTCCGCTCATTTCCAGCGCGTGAGTGGGGGTCTTCAGGTCTCCAGCCTGCATGGCCCACCTGGGGCAGTCCCCAGGCCCCGCGCTGGTGGAGGCGGAGGGTGCAGGCTTTGTCCTCCAGCCGCCCCCAGAGACGCCCTTCCGTTGGCGTTCTTTGGGGCTCAGAGCCTGGAGCTCTCGGGTCTTTTCTCGGCAGCGGTTCTTCCCAGCCTGGTGCCCTGTCCTGCTGGGAGGACCCCGCCCAGGGCTCCGGCCTGGTCACGGCCCCTCCGGAGGCGCAGAGTCTGGGCTCCCGCCTCCCAAGGAACGTGATCTGCGAGCGGGAGCGCAGGTGAGCGCCCAGGGGCCTCGCGGGGGTGGGGAGGAGGGCAGGGCTGAGGCCGGTTTCAGGCGGCTGGGGACAGGCCCACCGGGTATGTCTGGTGAAGGGCCCAGCGTGCCTCTTCCAGGTAAGCAAGAGAACCCACGTGGGGGTGGGGTGCGGGGGGCCATGCCCACAGCCCCCTGTGTGGCCTGAAGGCTCGGCAGTTTGAGGCTGTGCATTTGGGATCCTGTCTCTGCTTCGGATCCATTTCTCTCTTCCCTACGTGCAAAGCAGTGATGGTCGTG